TTAAGACTTGCGTGCTTCAAATGCCAGAGTTTCTGAGCCAACATTTTGATTGCTAAGCAAGAGCATTAAATGAGTTTCATCACATTTTGCAAGTTGGCCATGCCCACCCAATCACATGACTGCCAAGCCACTCCACTTGGTCACATAGATGACAAGCTGCTCCCACCCGGTCACGTGGCCGGCAAGCCACTCCCACAAAGCAGGCACACCTACAGAAGAGGTTCTAAAAAAAATTGAAACCCACCATTGATGTTAACACAAATCTTAGCACATTTAGGGAAGTGCTATTATATTCCAATACAATGCAATTTCGTCACATAATCTGAGATGCTAGAACAGCTTGCAGCATGGTGCCAATTTCATAATCCCTGTTTTGAACAACTGTTGCGACATGGAAAAGCTGCTGATTCACGTTCAATTATTTGTAGAAAAGGAGACTATTATGTATGAAGTCACTTCATGCATAAAGAACTCATACAGTAGCTGAATTATAAAAATACATCAAATTTATCAACCTAATTTGGAAACTAGGTAAAATTAATCATTTGATGTGTGGGCAATTAAACTGGAATAACACCATAGAACTTTGAAAATGAAATGAAACTGGTAGTGATGGAAGACTTATTGAGGCAGAAAAACTTGATCCAATATGTGCTTCTTTGGCTAGATACATAAAGCAAGACTGGCAAATCATTTCCAGAAACACTAAGAATACCGTACTTTACCAGGACTTGGACACATTCTCAAAGCCATGTGGATACTTATTGCAGTATTGTTTTTGTACTCAATATCCAAAGTTGTAGAACTTAATTTGGAAGAACCATTTTCAACCTTGCAAAATTCTCATTATTCTCAGCCATTCTGAATGATGATTGATAAAGAATAGCTGAACCTGTTTTAATTACTTCCCCATATGGTAATTTTTATACTTTCATAAAATTGTATTTGTAGCTTGATAGCATACAACCAGTGTTTCTGATAAAACACATAGCTCTATTCATCATATCATAGTGCTACTATTAAAATCGTTCTGTTATAAAACATTTTATTAACCTACATGTGAATGGAAGTTTAAATGCCAAAAGGAAACTGCTGGATTAAAGCAAAAGACTACCTACTACAGCATTAGCTACACTACTCATCTAGGAACCAGTAATATATCCTCAAACAGGATATAAACATGGCAGTCATCTCCCAATCATATTTGTTGGTAGTAAATTACTTGTAGGATGATATATCACCAGTGTAAACTTACCTTCCATAAATCTAACCAATCTATTTAAAATATATAAGTTGGCACATGCAAAACATAACTATCTCAGACTGTCTTGTTTGAAGTTTGAAAATACTCAGCACATCCAGATCCAAAGTAAGTTTTTATTCTCTCCCCTACATAAAACTCATTGATTTTGTACCATACTGAGAGAAAGCCATCAGGATTATTCTGAGTACTATGTTCATTGTTATTTTATTAACTAATGCTAGGAAAATTAAGAGCTATAGTACTATTCTGTTGCTTTTACCTGTTTGAGTAGAGAGATTTAAAATAAACTGATGTTCTGATGTAACCTTGTTACCTACCTAGTAAATTCATTGCTTTTTCATTTTTATCTTGGGAAAATTAAATGAGTAGACAAGACTAGATATTTTTGCTGGCTCCTATGGTCTGAGGACTTTCAAGATTATTGAAGTACAGATATCTAGCCCTTGATTTACATCCATTCATTTAGTGACTATTCAAAGTTACAACAGCACTGAAAAAAGCAACTCATGACCATGTTTTATACTTAGACCTTTGCAGCATCTCCATGGTCATGTGATCAAAACCTGGATGCTTGCCAACTGGCATGTATTTATGATAGTCAAGTGTCCAAGGTCATGTGATCACCATTTGTGACCTGACAAGCGAAGTCAATGGGAAAGTCAGATTCACTTAACAACCATGTTACTAACTAAACTGCAGTGATTCACTTACCAACTGTGGCAAGAAAAGTTGTAAATTGGGGCAAACTCACTCTACTGCCTTGCTTACCAATGGAGATTTTGGGCTTAATTGTGTTCGTAAGTCAAGGACTACCTTTAGTCATTTCCCCAGTTTCTAAGAAGCTTTAAACCTCTGCCACCTACACATCTTCCCAATAGTTTTTGTACAGTGTGATTATCAGCATCAGATCCAACAAAATCTTATCTAAAATAAACACAATAAGATTACAGATAATCCTTATTTAAAAATCAGTTAAACTTCAAAAAAGCAACTCATGACCCATCTTTGAAGTTATGATTGCCACAACACCTCCATCTGCCTGGTCATATGTTGCACTTTGGGCAGTTGGCAACCAACTGACATTTATGACCAGATGCATTATTTCACAGTCACATGACTATAATTTGCTACCTTTTTTTGCTATTTTCTGGCAAAAAAAAAAAATCCCCTTGGATATGCTGGATTCACTTAACAGCCCACGCACTTAACAGCCATGATGACTCACTTTACCACTATTGTAAAAACAATCATAAAATTGAGCCCGGTCACATAGGTTCTTGATTTACAACAGCAACGACTTACAACTGAAATTCTGGAGTTGTGATCATATTTTGAGCCTGTGTAAGCTTAAAAATTTAGGAATTAACTGCAATACTGACCACAGTATTTTTTAAAAAAATGAAATGTATCATAAATAAAGGGAAGCTTTCATTTAAGTATTTATTATAAAGCACATTTCACAAATGCTAGACAAGTTGTATATAAAAGCTATAATGTACTGTATAAATTTTTCTTAAATTCTATAGTACCAATAAATTCAATTCATAAACAATATTAAATACATAACAATTCAGAAATTAATTCATGAGTCCTTCCATTTTGATAATATAAAAACAAGTAAATGTCTGATGCTTCCGTTGATTAAATTGACTGCACAATGCAGAAATTTTCTTCTCTTTTTTCCTCTTACAGTTGTTTTCTGTTAAAATGTACAGGTAAAAATTCTATACACAATCTTTATCCAACATAAAGTGCTAATATAAGAAAGAAACCAGTATTTACATATAAAACATTTAACTATACAAAAGAAAATAATTTTACAGTTGTGTAAAATATCAAACTTTCATATATCAGTAAATTTGCAGTACAATCCTTAAACAGCAACATTTACTCTTATTTAAAGGAAGCTCCTGGGCAGCTACAGCATGGCTAAAAACCGTTTTGCTACACTCTGAACAAGTGATAAACTGATTGCATTATTATTTTTTAATTCTCATAATTTATATTTGATCATTTAAAACCACTTCAATGGTATAGATAATATATCTGAAATACTGAAAAAAGATTTGTGTAAATGCTTTTTTTTAACCTTTATTTAATAAACAGTAAGTTTATGAGGAAATTTTGAAGTGCCCTCTGTTTGAGTTGAAAGAATCATGTTATTCCATTATGTGCATGGAGTTTGGGTGGAACAGGCTGTGTAATATGCCTACATTTCAGTTTCTTGTTTGTTAATGAGTGGATATTGATATTAGAGTTCCTCTGTGACCCGTGTTCTGTCTTAAATATATTTAAGAATCACTATTTGCTTAATGTTACTCTCAGTTTTTTGCAGTCAAAAGCAGTTTATGAGCTCCACCACTCCCCTGTATTTGGAGAGGAACTCAGCATGTAAAAGAAGAAGAAATTATTTGAGAAAATAAGATAAAGTTCAGCCTGGGGAGAAATGCTGTTCTAGCAGCCTTGTATCTCTGGATCAGAAAAAGATTTGTAAAATGGGGATCAGACCTGCAGGTCACATTCATTTCTATAAGATCTGTATTTATGAATTGAATATATTTGGAAAAAAATATACAAAAATCTGAAGCAGGAGTCCCACAAAAATTCAGTAACAACAGCAATAAAATCCTCTGTTGAAGATACTCATCAGAAGCCATAGCAAGACCTTGCCTGTTTCCACAAATGCCTTTTCTTGAACGGTTATGTCATTCAAGCATAATCAAATAATTGAAAGTCACTGTTGGACTGAGAGCAAAAGTTAAAATAACTATTTTTCTCATTGTTGCTAATTTTGTATAATAAGACAAAGCTACCAGAATTAAAATCTTTTGAATGATATTGATTTCATGTGAAATGTTTGAAAATTTCAGGACATACTAATTGTTAGTAATGCTTGTTCAATGTTGTAAACATGCCCTTGTGAAATTGAGTTTATGCTCAAAGATACAAACATACATAAAAAATCTTCAATTTGCACCAGCTTTCTAACATCTATACTCCCATCTAGTGTACCATTATAGCTGAAAATATTATAATATTAAAATATAATATGCAGGAAAGAAATAATCACATTACAGTTAAGAGCGATTAGTTTCTTAAATTTTATAGTTTTACTGAAAAATCAGTATTAAAAGGAAAAGGCAAAAAAGGTTAAAAAAAATTCACTTAATTCAGAGTGTTGTACAAACCTAATGCTTGACTCAACTATTAGATATTTTTCAGTAAGGTGCTTTTGTTTCTTTCACATTCCCATCTGCATATCAGCAAAATTATAGAAACACTCTATTTCTCTTGAAGCAGACAACTTGTCCTCAGATACAAAAACCTGTATTTTAGGATAAAAAAGAAAGCATAATTAAGATTTAGAATTCAAGTGTTTTATTCCAGAATTTTAATTTGTTTTTTTTAAATAAGCCAATCAACTGGTTCAGATTAGAATGCTAATCTAAAACTGCAAATTGAATGACACAAACATAATAGAAATATATTCTCATTTTCAAAAGATCTTTGAAATTATATAATCTGACTGTTTAAATGATACAGACTTGGTATCTTCTAGCTAATATATAAGAATTCACTTCAAGAACTAATTTAACATAATTATTCAATATTCAGTAATTATGGACCCACAGTTAATTGAATAATATTAAGAGAATCACCATATATTTATTAAAAGTGTTTACATCTAGATTCCAAATTCATAAAATATATAATAAAAATGCAAAACATATTAATACTGTAAAAATTTAAAACATTTTTCATTGCCCATATTGACAATATAGATCAGGGACATCAAGCTTGCAGCATCATGTCACCACATGACATATCACGACTCCCCCCCCCCACTTGCTTAACTGGGAGTAGGCGTGGCCAGGGTGTAATGCATCTGGCCCACAAGTTTGACACCCCTGATATAGTTAGGAAAATTCATGTGACTTTGTAGTAGCAGTATGGATGTATTTTTATTTATTACTATCACCAAATAGAACCATACATGTGTCCTATATTTTTCAAGTTTCTAAAGAAAGGACAGAATTAATTTCATTTTTAAAAAGTAAAATTCTGTGGAGAAAGTAGTACAGTGGAAAAACATGCTATAATTTCCAGAAAACAGTTTCAAGGAGAATCTGCACCACTACACACCTGAGCTCCACTAAAGACATTGACAACAATGTCTTGACAGGCTGCTATAGAACCATCTCCATTAAACTCTAAAGCAACAACAGGACCTAGGAAAAGGAATAATTAAGAATTAGTATTTTGATATTGTCTTCAACTCTGTATGCCTGTGAGTATAAGAAACTGAACAAAATAATCATTTCTACATTGCAGACTTCTCCCAAATCTACTCTGGAATATTGGGAAAACATACCAGGTACAACCCTCTATTTTTCTGATGGGTCCCCTATTAACTTTTGATATTGTCAACTATGGTACCTTTCTGAATTGCATAAATTGAGGATACTGTGTTAACTATATTTGACTCCTACTTGCATAAACAATACTAAATGGCTTTATTTCTGACTATGGCAGATTTGTTGTGGAACAACTAACTTGATCCCTAATACTATTTAATATTTATATGAAGCCACTGAGAATAATCTTCAGGAGCTTTGGAACCACATCTCATTAAGGTTATTTTATTTTAAATTATTGCCAAATAATTGACTGCCAGACTTGCAAATTACTATTTGGGGACAACTTACATGTGCAAATTTATGCTTACATCACTACAATGTAAGGGAGACTTTCCTTCCATTTAATCTAGAAGTGGCAGCAATGTAGATTGCAGTAATCACATTGCTGAGTAAGGTGTATCGTCTTGTAATTTCTGCTGAAGCAACTGAATCACTTTAGGTTAGAATCTGAACCATATTCAGGATTTTGCTTAAAATGTGTATGTTGGGACCATAATCCTGATGAGCCACCTTTAGTTACAGATCTAACCAAATGCTGAGATTGTGGGGGAAGTTCTGCTATGCTATGTCTGCCAAATGTCATTTTGCATTCTCTCAGATGGGGTTTTGATGTGGTTGCGCCTACATTATAGAATTATCACCCCTGGAAGTTTATGAGGCACTCATTTTACTGTCCCAAGACATTTGTTGAAGAAACCTCTTCACAAAGACCTTTTCTAGTTGACTATTGGATAAGTGTGAGGGGTTTTTTGTTTTGTTTCTGCTTTTGTTTTCAATTCCCCTGTCACTTTTATGTATATATTTTATATGTTTTATTGTACAGTTGTTATTGAATATTTTATATTCTGTAGATGGCTCAAAGATCCTGTATATAGCACAGGTGAGAATAAATTAAAACATTGTAAATCCCTCATGTTTGTGAAAGAAAAAAGGGACTAATTATAAAAAAGTATATTTACTAGTAGGAACTATGTCCCCTCCCCCAAAATATTACCTGTAAGTTGATTCTACAGTCCCATGAGAATAAGCTATAGCCGAAATTGAGGGTCAAGTGGCTGAAGACATCAAGATCAGTCTTTTAAGACAAGCTACCACTTGGAAGAGGCTGCTTGCCTAGTGGATTTAATTTTTCCTGTAATGCTGAAACATGGCATACTTTTTCCCCTTCCCTATCCTTTTCCATATCATCTCTATCCAGTTTTGTTTCCATTCAGTCTCTCCTATCTCCATGTAGCTTTCCATACACACACAAATACACCCGGTTTTATGATGGAAAGAGAATGCAAGTTCATATGAGAATATTCCATTTGACAATATGATTTTATTGTTGGAGGAATCTATTTCATAAATAATAAACCTTATTCTATAGACAAATATAAGTAGCTATTTATACCTTATTTTCTTGACTTGGGTTTTCTTGGAATGCAACGTTTAGCAGGTATATAAGTGGAAATACATGTGTACATATGTCTGTGCGCACGTTTGTTGGGAGAAGTTCTCCAGAATTTATTTCAGCTAGAGTTGACTAGCCTAGCTTGACAAAGTACAAAAAGTGGACATCATATTGTCTGTTTATACTTATTCCCTGTTTACTTTTTTGAGTTGGGAAGCAAATGAAATGTGCCACTTGGTGACAAGGCAATTTTAAATAGATGTATGTTCAGTATAATTTTCATTGCCCCCTGCCTTAAGAATTACATTCGGATTTAAGAAAAAGTTTTAATTTTTCAAGGTTTTAGTTTTTCAAATAATTATACCTTTGTCAAGTAAAGGGGTGAATTCAAATGCTCTTTGCTGGAACACTCGTTGAGCATCATCAGCTTTCATTGAAATCTCTTTTGTCTGTATCAGCCAAAAGCCTTTGCCAGTCATCTATTGAATTTCAGTAAGAATTGGAATACACATGAAATATGTAAAAATTTAATAAACATCATATGGAAATAATCCTTAAAAAACCCAAAATATTTATTTTTATGCAAATGTTTCTTCCTGCATAGCAATTTCCCCATTATTTAAAGCCATCTATATCCTCTAAATCATAATAAATTGAAGGGGGGAAACACATAACATCGAACCATATAAAGAACTGCGCATCATTATGTGATCCAGAAATAGCTTGAATGGGACCTAAGTCAAGAAAATGAACCATCAATCAGTGAGAAAGATTAAGTCCAATGGAGAATAATTTATGACAATGTATAACAATTCAAATTTAAATGCCCAGATTATTTAATTTGAATTTTATCATAAGTAGGAGGATGAACTCAATGATCTATATGACTCCTTCTAACTCTGATTCTAAAGAACTGTTAGTCAGACATTGACTGACTGGAAATTTCCAATTCCTTCTTGAAACAAGGATGCATAACTTCTGCTGGTGTGATGACCATTCCAGCTTTGTGTAAAATATAATGTAACCTAACAAGCAGCACCAAAGCTCTTTCAGGGAAGAGATTTAAGCATTTGCAAAGGCTTAAGTATCTATTTTGTGCCTTAAGACTCTTTAATAGGCAGTGAAAATCCAACATACAACTCCTCCCATTCTGGATAGTAAAAATTTTTGCATGTGGCTCCTGGACCTTCTTCTTTTTTCTACTTCTGCCCTAACAAAGCACACTTGCAGTAAAACAAGATTCTTATTCTAACCTTAGATCAAAGAACTTGGTTTGACATGTTTTACACAGCCACTGATCTTTTCGGAATTAAAAATGAGATACAGAAAAACATTTACCATGACGATATTACAAACACTTTTACAAGATTCTCTTTAATGCTGTACCAGCAGACCTCAATTTATGAAGTGGGATTTTTCTCCCTCTGCAACGCTCATGTGTATCTTCAAGTTTTACTCTGGATTATTCTCCTGTTGCATCCTACAGGTTATATTTTCAGAGTGCAAAGCATAGGCAGTCACATAAATGAACACATTTCAAAATTGCATTATGTCAGGATTTGATTAGCCATTTAAAAGCTACAGATTTGTAATACTTTAATTTTTAAAATAGCTTTAGTTTTAAACCCAAAGTATAAACTATAGCAAATTGCTTCTTACCTCATCAATTAACTTCCTTGCATTGGCAGTTGTATAGTCTCCAGCAAAGAACACTACAAAGCAAGATTCCTCACTTTTTTTTTGGCGTCCTCCCAGGGTTATTGGAATTATGCTCTTGTTGGCATCAGCTGAAACCCTCACAGCTTTTAATTCTTCAGTAGTCGGCAATGGTACATAGTCTTGAACTAAAGCATCCTCAGCTAGAAGACCCCAATTATTTTCTTCTGAAACTGGTGTGAAGTCATGGATATTGCTCCATGTGTTGTTAAAGATGCTTAGCCCAGCATCTTTCAACTGCAAAGCCAGCTCTGGATAATAGTATTGGAAACATCCAAATTTCATACCTGTAGAAGATTCAATAATGGGCTGGGTGGTACAGCACAGAAATATTTCTATCTTTCGGCAGTCTCGAGTACGAAACTGTTGGCATGCCACAACACACTTACAGTCTTTGCAGTCACGCAAAAACACACTGCCTTTTACAGGTCCTAGAAAAATTTGGCAGTTTATACAGTCGTCAACAGTGATTGTAGCAGAATGATCAAATATATAAATATTGCAATTCTCACAGTCCTGAATGACAAACTGTTGCCCTGCAACTTTCCCAGGTAAACGTCCAACTGTTTCATTCTTGAGTCCAGAAAACATGTAATCTTTTGGATCAATCTAGAACAAAGGCAATATTTTATAGTCAAGGTATATTCTTAAAAGTCATGAAATGTTCCCCATCATTTCAAGTATGGAAAAAATTTAGAATCAATATTTACCATACTATATTATGCAAAGTATCTAGCATCAATGTTATTTTATTTCCTCTCTTAATATAGTCATTATTTCTATTCCACTGTTGGGGAAACTGAAGGAAATTGGGTTTTTTTAGTCAGAGAACTTCTATTAAGAGCTTATAAATTGTTAATCAATACAGTATTGTATATGATAGTTCAAATATGCTATTGATTGGTGAAATACTATTCAATTACAGAGTGACAGCACAGCATAAAAAGAAAATCAAATATTTCGTAGAAGGCATGGGGGAACCTGGAGGCAGTGAAAGGGGGGATCAGCTTAGAATCCTATGTAGCCACAAGCAAATTAAGTCCAATCATGCTTGAGAGCCATGGACTCTTATTTATGTCTAACCAGTATTGACTGTTAATTGAGAAGATTCCTGGGCATAGGCTTTTAGCAATAAATCACTGTAACTTAACCATGTGTGAATCTGATCTTTTGCACTTGTCAGTTTTAGTGGTTTACATTTATTGATATAAAAGATTTCTTGCAAGATGGTAATAAGAATTGTACTTCTATATATAATATTGAAGTACTTCATTAAACATTTACATTTAAAAATATGGATTTTATCAGAAAAGTATAACAATTTGTCTTAAAATGTGTTATTTGATTTAATTAAGTAGTGAGCCATAGTTACATAATATAGGTTCTAGACCTATATATGTCAAAGGCATCACATGCTGGCCACCCTCACCCCTGTTCTAGTGAAGGGGGGGGGATTATATGTCACATGATGATGCACATTTGACACCTCTGTTCTAGACACTGCATATAATTCAAGTATATTTTCAGAAATTATATCACATATTCCATTCCTAGAGAATACTGAAAAAATATTTAGCCACATAAAAAATAAAATTCATAGTTTCTCACACTTCATTGCACATCCAAGATATAAAACAGGAAAACAGTGGGTGCTAATTAAAATTAAGCCAAATAGAATTGAGAAGCTGTGTCACAACTAATTGACCTAATCTGAAAACACAAGCAAAGCTGTTTGTTAAAATTGGCAGGATTGTGCAAATAATGACAGAACAGTATAGTTCCACATGCTATCATCTTTTAAAGTAGCATTTCAATTCAGTTTAGATTCCTCAAATGTCAAAATGTTCCCCATCATTTCACGGGGGGGGGGGAAGCTAAGCATACCTTTAAATGGATATCACAACCAAAATTAAATTATCAATTGTGTAATATTTGTAGTCCCCATTAAAATGTTTTATTATAAAACCTCATCTAACTTAATTTCAATTCTTCCTAATATTAAGACAAGTTAAATTTATTACTTGGCATAACATTCTAAAGCACCAGTTGATACAAAATGGCATTTGAAATATAAAAATTTAAAGGCACAATTAATTTCTGCAATTTGTTTTTAATTCAAAATTCTCATTTCATTTTTAAACATTTTGTGCTCCCATAATTTCAAAAAATAGGTGAAAGAAGTCATGTAGCCATGAAAATTATTCCATATGTGGCCTAATTGTCCCTGGAATGAAAATCACAGGGAAATCCCAAGGTGATAAGTTCAATTCAACTCAATGGAGCAAGCAACTCATAAATACGACAAATAAAGCTATAACCCCACCCCAAAATGAAGGTGGAAGTCCCTAAAACTTCCAGCCTTTGGTCATTGCAAATTATAGAGAAGTTATTTTCATAACTCAAGGAAATGAGTCAAAAAATGTTTCCAAGTTTCCTTAGGCACCAAATGTAAAGGACAATTGAAGGTGGCCCTCTCTTAAAGGGGAAAAAACTCCCGGGTTTGTGTTATGAATCTTGAAAGGGAGGATTCCATACAGCTTGACTTATGAAAAAGAGAGAGAGAACCTCTGGGAATACCCGCAGTCTCATTCTTTATACACAAGAGATATCTAGATAGAAAACAATGGAAGATCATTACATCTTAGATTATGTACACAAGAATACATTGATGTGCTCTGAACTATCACTATTTACCAAGTCCACTAAATTATAATTGACGAAACAGAAGTCAACAAGAAAGGTTGTAGCAATGCTAAACTAATTGTGATAGTTTCACCAATTTATCTACACTTCAAAAATATGGCTTAACACCCATTTCCTCCAAAGGCTCCCTGATTTTTTTTAAAAAAATTCAATATCTTTCAGTATCTCTAACTTTGCAGCTGTATTGATCTATGACACCCATGCAGAAATACATTATAATAATCTAATTTAAATACCATTTATCTGCCCAAGGAAGCCCAAATCCAGCTTCCAGAAGCTGGAAAGCTCCATACTGCACAGAGGAGAAAGCTCACCACAATTCTTCAAATTCACCAGGATGGTTAAAGACTGGTAAAGAATATCTAACCACACATCTTTTGAGATGACAGGAATAACCAACCTTTCAAATCTTGAGGAGGCTGCAAATAATGCCTATTCGCCACACAAGCAACACTTGCAGTTTACAGAAATAAAATGACAAGACCAAGCAGGCAACCAAAAACATTGCAAAAGATGATGGTGGGGTGTCAGATGGGCTAAAAAGCAAACTCCCCCAAATCCAGTACAACACCCAGAATCCTCATTCAGCATAATCAACAATGAATATTTTTGAGAGTTCCTCTCCCAACAAAGCGAGAATGGTATCCTATCCGTTTGAGGAAACCCGAAGTTAGGAAAATCTCTTTGGAACGAGAGAGGAAACAGTTCCTGGAAGAACAGGAGAATAGGACAAGACAGTCTTGAGGATGATGTTACCTAGTCTGGTAACGAAACGTTCAGAAAGTAAATTGAAACAAGCTTGGAGAGCAAACCAGTGCCAAAAATCTAAAACCCAAGCTACAAATATTTATATTAATTCAAAGGAACGGTTGGTGTTCTCCCAACATATTCTCTCGCAGGAAACGGGATTAACTCGATTGGGTTCGCACGATACACTGATCCGTGATCTAGTCAAACTGGCGAGGGCTCGCGCGACACACCACCAGCCAAGCCCCATGTATCCCAATATATTGTGCAAACATAGCCAGCAAAGAAGAGGAAGTAGCCCTGTGCGCTCAGCAGAGAACCACCCCCCACCCCAAGGACAGCCGCTTTCAGAGGAGGAAATCGCGGTTACCTTGGCTCGCTGGTCCCAACTATACTGTGGCTGTTTGTCGGCCTCGGCGGACAGAGAGCCATTCCGATCTCCGCTCTCCGCGCCAGCCTTTGCCTCTTTGGCCTGCTTCCGCCTCTTGGAGAAGAAGCAGCCCATGATCTGTTCTTTCACCTCAGAACACGAACACACACACACACAACACAACGGGCACCGCAAACACCTTCCCTTCACTGCCCCTCCCTCCAGTCCAAACAGCCCCAGCGGCTCCCGCGAAGGAAATATAACTGAATACGCCCCACCCACTACTTAAAGCTCCTGCTTCCGGCTTCTCCCTCACCCGTCTCCCATGGCGACCGCGGCTCCTCCCTTCCCGGCGTTTTTCCCAATCACCATCGCATGTCAAACATTTCCGCCAATCTGGTTCGCTGACAAATAACGAAGCGCGTCGTCGACCCCGCAGCTCGCTGTGACTCCCGTATGCTGGAAGCCGGGAAAAGAATTGTGTGTATAAAAGAACGAGGCGTTTTAGCCATTCTGCGCGTGCGCTCCCAGATTCGTTGCTTTTGCTTCGTGGGGGGTGGTCTAATGAGCGAGTTGAAAACGTACGTCGCTCCTAAGCCTCGAGTAGGGTGTGCACGCAGGTTGCTCAGTGCGGCGAAAAAGCATTCTGCTGATGTACAAGGAAGAGTGTTACCAGCCTAAGATCATCTGCACGTGAACCTACGAATCCCTTCTTTCCTGGGTGTAAAGTATTGTGGATTATGCTACTAACTGGAATGGTCGGCTATTTTATCATATTTATAGCATGACCTGTAAAGATTTAATCTCTTGTCTAGACACTACCAGGAAGTTTTTTGTTACCAAGATGGATGTTCTGGCGGAATACTGTCAGCAAAAAGTTTTTTTTCATGCCTCCTTACTTGGGAAGAGGCTTCTGCTGAATATGATGGGACTTCTAAGGAAATAGAAAAAGTTGCTCTATATATGTTATTAAGATAAACATTCCATCCAGCATTCTAATTTGAGGCACAAATGACCAGGATCAAATTATTCTACTTTGGACACATTATGTGAAGACCCAGCTCTCTGAACAAGGTTATGCGCTAGAAAAAGTGGTAACAAGTAGAAGAGGATCACCAGCAGTAAGCTGGATGGATTCAGTTACAGTGGTAATAGATGGAAGATTGGGAAGATCACGTTAGGGACAGATCATGGAGAAAAAGCTATGGGTACTAAGAGCTAACAATATCTTGATGGCACATAATCATCAATAGGAGCATAGGTTTTTATTTGCTTTGTGTCTTCAAGTCAGTCTTGATTTCAGCAACTGACTGGACAAGTCCCTCAAGTTTTCTTGGCAAGATTTTCAGAATTGATTTGCCCTTGCCTTCTTTCCATCGTTCATAGGATGAGTAGTACAAAATTCCTACTACTCTAGTAAATCTACAGAACTAAAATCCCTTGTGCACACTTTATATTGGCATTTGCCAATATTTTGCTAGGCAGCTGAGATGATCAGACAGTATTTTATTTATTAAATTTGTATGCTGGCTAGCTCAATGGTTTTGAAATATAAAGTGCCTATTAAAAGTGTGTGAAGAATTAAGAAAACAGTCATGTGTATACTTAATCAGAAGCAAACAAAGTAAGGGCCTTAAGCTAAATCTCAGCTGCTTATCACAATCTAAATATATCCACACAGTCTTCTTGCTATTTCCTTCTCCAGAGAAGATTTTCTTCCCTCTCTAACATATGTCTGTAGCATCTCCTGGTGGTCTTATCATTCAAGTACCAAGCAAGTCTGATGGCTCACTTTCAGATCCAAACAAGTTACTAACCATAAGTACATCTGAATTCAAGATGTATGTGTCTGTATATGCATTAAAATAAATAATTGAAATATAATTCACATATGCTGTGGTAATTTGCTACTTATTTTTTGCATGTTGAGAAGACAGTGTAACATGAAAAACATATTTGAATCATATTAATTCATTAAAGGTTGTTTCTAATTCTTTTCTTGCTGCAGAATAAATTACAACATCCTATATGAATAGCATACAATTTATAATTTAGTCCTGTTAAAATCAAGGAGAAGAAAATTGTAACAGCTCTTAAGTGCAATATTAGAAAACTGGTTTGTGTCAAGATACCCCTTCTCTTTGATATAAATAGGTTTTCTTTTGTAAAGCAGCACCTTAAATAAATAAAAAGGAGGTGGTTTGACTCCCAAAGACAAAGGAAGAAAACAGTCATCCCAATCTCATGGTATTGTAGTCCCAGATCCCAGCCTCTTTAGTCTAATCCAGAGGCCCCTGACCTTTTGGATGCCGTTCAACTGTTCATTGGAGAACAGTTTTTCCACAAACTAGGTGGGGTGGTGGTTTCCTCATGGTTCCGCATGTGCAAGAATGGGGCTTCGCTTGCTTGTGCAGACTGGTTCTTGGCAGGCCATGGACCAGTGCCAGTCCATGGACCAGGGGTTGGGGACCGCTGGTCTAATTAACATGTTCAAAGGATGTAACTAAATATGATTATTCCTTTTTTTTTTGTGAATTAATTTCAAGATGATCCAAAAATGCTTAGTTGATTTTAATAAAAGGAAATTGTCTCTTGATCATTTGTGACCTTTCTGTTCTTGAAATTAGAATTCCACTGCAGCTGGTGAACTCAGAGTCAGGTTGCATTGAAGTTGTAGCCTTGGTAATAAATACTTTATGGTATATTTTTGTATTACATGTATTATCTCATGGTGCCAAGAATGTCCTCAAATTTTTTAGCTTCTGAGAAAAGAAACTGCTAACCTCCCTTTATGATACAGAGTAGCATAAATCCTTGTGTAGTTAGGCAAATAAAAAACAATTGTTCCAAAGGCCATGTAAACCTATTTTATCCATGTTTAATAAGCAAATGCTATTGGATTTAATTTAACGTATACCAAATAAATGTACATAGGACTTGTTGAGGTTATACTGGGTCATGGTACAAGGTCTTAATTTCTTAATTTTGCACTTGCTGGCATTTATAGAATTAATCAATTTTAAATGAATGCGTACCGTATTTATTCAAATTGTGTGGCTACCATCTCACCTAAGTAATTGGTGCAGTTAAACCACCAATTAAAAATAGGTTAAAACATAAATATAACACATAAAACCAATAATCACACTAAAAACAAATAAATATGATCAGCAGCAAAATCCATCTCAACACATGCATTATAAAAGTTCCCAACCATTGCCCAACCTCCATTGCCAAAGCCATGGCTTAAAGGCCATCAGGGTTGCAGCCAATCTAAGATGTGTGGAAATGATGTTCCAAAGGGTGGCCACCACAACAGAAAAGGCTTTCTTCCTCGGTCCTGCTAGATGACACACTCATAGATGGGGCCCATAATTTGCTTCTTCTGCTGGATCTGATGGGACAGGTGGATGCAACTGGGGAGGGGGAGTCCCTCAACCCTGCCGCATGCCATATAGAGTTTTATAGATGATTACTAGCATCTTTAATTGAATCAATAAACATATTAGCAACCAAGATATCTCATGGGATAGAAATGTACCATGCACTCTTATGTCATATTTTGTACAACTGTAACTCGATGCATTTCAATGGTAGCCCAAAGAGCGCATTGCAGTAATCCATTCAAGGAGTGACCAGGGACCATGTAACTGCAAGCAGAACCTTCCAATACAGGAATAGGCTAAATTGCACAACATGAAAGGCCCTTTGGCTACGATTGTTCCCTGATCTTTGAGTAGGAATTGTGAGTCCAAGAGAACCCCAATCTGTTTGGGGCAGTGCAATCCCTTCCAGAACTGAAGATGAACCCCTGGAACCTGCATATCCCCAAACCCACTCAGTCTTGCTAGGATTTAGCTGAAGCCAATTGAATACCTACAGTCTCTAGGGCAGAATCTCAACAGCCTCACTTAATTTACCAAGAGATGAGACATGAAGCTGGCTATTTCCAGCATACTGATAATACCTCACCAAGTGAGTTCATGTAGATCAGGGATGTTAAACTGGCAGCCTTCAGGCTGGATGTGTCACATGCTAGCCATGCCCACCCCAGTTCCACAAAGGGAAAAACAAAAAAACATCACGACGGCAACATGATGCAGCGAGTTTGATACCTGTGATGTAGATGTTGAACAGGACTGGAAAGAGTATCAAACCCTAAAAAAAAATTCCCTGGTTCAAAAGTATGCCATGGTTTGAAAAGGATGCCACGGTATCAAAAGCCACTGAGAAGTCAAGGAGAATAAGGATGGAAGTGTTAATCTTATCCCACTCATGCTAGTGGTCATCCAAAAGTACAACCAATGCTATTTGAGTCCCATACCCAGGCCTGAAATAAACTGAAATGGGTCTAGATAATCAATTTCATCCAGGATCCTCTGAAGCTATTGTGCAATCTCCTACCCAATAACTTTCCTCGAAAATGGCTTCTTGTCAAGGAGTTGAATTGACATTTATTCCTGGTTAATATGACTGTTTTCAACAGACAGGGAAGTAAACATTATTATTCTTCTTTAAAAAAAAAGTCTCTGAGGAATTAATTAGCCCAGTTGATGATAACACAAAATACAAAATAATCAAGAAGTTTAAAATGATGACATGGAAAAAAACGCAAATCTGAACTAGCTAAATTTACCTAATTGTGGTTCTATGTACACTTACCAGAAAGCAGACTCAATGATACTTGCCTCAGAATTGCAATCAAAGGAGTGTACTATGAATAATATTTTCCATTTGTCTAATACTTTGAGTGTTTAGATGTCTGATAATTATTATAGCAAAACTCTTGGCAATTATATCCTCTGAGCATAATTATTCTTAACTGATAGATGAAGACTGAAGCTGAGACCAGTAGTTGAACCAAACCTTCGCATCACAGTTGGTATCAGGAGAAAACTTAAGATATTTTATGTGCAGTTAGCATTGTTTATATTTAATTTTCAAGGGATTGCTGTTTTGAATAATTTTATTTACAATGTTAATTTGAAGTAGTTATGTAAACATTTAATCATCATTTTAGCCATTGTCTATCCACTGCAGGATGAAGACTTATTTTGCATGTTTCCAACCAACACAATTCTGAGCTTTCTTTTAAAAATGTTTTAAATTTTACTTTGTTTTAAATATATTTTATGTGAAAATACTGCACCTGAAAAACAAATTAGAAAATTTCCCAGTATTTTGAAGAGACTTAGTGAAGCAGAGACTTTAAGGACTGCAGTACACAAATCTATGTAGCAAAATCCCGTTTATATAAGTCTTAAATATTGCCTACTCCCAAGTAAATGTTTGTGCAGAAGGGACAATCTTGTGCCCAGTGGTGATTCCTATCAGTCGCAGCCACTAATACCATCCTAATTGCATTCACACAACCTGCTTGCCCAGAATAAACCATGGTTTTCCAAATTTTTCTGGGTTTGAACTACTTTCCAAGTCATAATTGACCACATAAGATTGGATGAACACGCAATGAAATAAACTACAGCTTGGTACGCTAACTTGTAACTAGGTCATGCAAACTCAAGTCACAGAGCAGAATAACTAGAGATGATCAACTTTGTTTTAGGACCTCGGTTTGAGGCTGGGTTATTAACAGTACCAAATTGGCTTGCCGTAATTTCCTGGTTCATCCGCGTCTTTTACTTTTCCCTTGGAATTGGGGAAAGAGGGCAAAAGCCACAAGAGCAGAATGCCCTCCGGAGTAGCAAGTGAAGACGAACCTCACTCGCAGCCACTTTATTCCGAACTAACAGAGCTCCCTCAGCCGAATAAAAGAGGGATCGAACAGCCTCGTTAATGTGAAGGTTTGGGATTCTATTTTGAAACGCGACTACAATTCTCTATGTAATTCCAGCGAGCGGTGCAACGATCGAAGACCCCTTTCTCGGACTCGCCTTACGCTAGCTTTCTAATATCGCTTTGAATAAAGGAGAGCATCAAGGAGAGCGATCCACCCCCCCGCCCGCAGCCTGCAATGGTGCAGCCCACTCTATGGCCTCTTTCTGTTGCAAGCATAGATCCCGCCCCTGTGCAACGGGAGGGAGGGAGCGAAGGCGGCGCGCTGCCCTAAGCGTGGCCAGCCTTTAAGAAACGAGGCGGGAGAGTGCCTCTCGGCAAACTTAATGCCGGAGCTGCGATGCCGAGGGGTGGAGTTGGGCGATTCTGCCTGCCGGAGTCACATGCACCTGCCTGAGCGCCCAGCACCGTCGCCCGAGCGGAGCCCGCCCGGCTGCTGCAGTGGCTGCTGGCAGGAAGCTCGGCGCGCCGAGAGGACGCAGGCGGGCACGAGCGGTGGTGCTCCAGGGGAGCCTGCCATGACGCGTCTGCGGCTCCTGTTTCTCGTCCTCTGCCCAGTCCCCGGGCTGTGCCTGGGAGAACGGAGCAGCAGCAGCGCCATGGAGGAGATCACCACGGAGAAAGAAGCGGAGGAGAGCCACCGGCAAGACAGCGTGAGCCTCCTGACGTTCATTCTTCTCCTCACCCTGACTATTCTCACCATCTGGCTTTTCAAGCATCGCCGGGTCCGCTTCCTCCATGAGACCGGCCTGGCCATGATCTACGGTAAGTCGCAGGCATCTGGGCATTCCCGCTGCTGCAGACCGGTTCTTCAGGACCGCCGCTAAAGACCGGTACCAGTTTTGTATTTGAAAGTAATAAATGGTGGGCGGGCATCTAAATACATGTGCGCACGTCTCTCTGTGTCTCTAGAAAGCCTTTCCCCCCTTTGGCCTATTTGACAGATCGCAGGGAACAAATGACAAACTGGAGGTTTGTTTTTTTGTTTGTTTGTTTTTTGGGTTTTTTTTTGCGAGTGCGCCGGTTCACGGTCACTCCTGTTCCTCCCTTCCTCCCCCAAACACTTGGTGTGGCTTCATTCTTCACTGATGACTTTTCAACACATCGGTATTAATTTCAGGATGAATATTTCCCAGTTCTACCTGCTGTGTCTGCCCTGTCTTGGCCTTTGAATAGGAACTGGCAATATGATCTCTAACAAGGGGGGGGGGGGACAACAGAACCTCTTGCATCTTTTGCTTTGTTACCCGCACAAATATTTTATCTGTCTGTATTAGGAAGATTAATGGAGATAAATATTCTATAGGGAGGATAAACGGTTCTCATGGTCACATGATTTTCCTCTCCTTTACTTGGGAGATTAAACTCTTCTCTCCACACCTTTCTGCTAAGAGTCATTTAATTCACTTGCTGCATCAATCGCAGTACGCTCCTGTTCAATATTTGATCCTCTTACAGGCTTGAGAAGAGGGTAGAATATCCTAAAATTTGGGTATTGCCAGGTGTTCTTTTGCTCAAGAAAATTCAATGGCATTATTGGGTGTAGTTTCCCCCCTCTTCCAATGTGTGAAAGGTTGTAAAGGGAGCTCTCTCAATGGATATTCTATTGTTTCTTTCTTGTGATATGCGTTTTATATTATATCAAAGGATCATCATTCTTTCCTTTTACATAATAAAAAGTAATATGAACTGTACCTTTTTGGATGCTGTTACTAGTTAAATAATCATCTTAGAGATGTGTTATAGTATTCTAAAATATATCTACATTAAATTTTCAAGTCCTATCATGACAGTTGTTCATTAATGAAACAAATAAAGATGCGGGGTGGAAGTTGTGGTCAGTGCCCTATAGTTAATATTTGAATTGTGGCTTGTGATATGCTACCTTTGACTACCATGTACCTTATTTCTGCACCATACACATGGAACTTTTTTTTTGTTATTGATACCTTGAAATTTGTAGAAGGTGAAACAAACCTTTAAATGGGGATGCCTTTTTCCCGATCAACCAGCTCTGTGTGTTTATGTGTTAATCTTTGGCTTTTAGTGCTGTTTTTTCCTCTCTGATTGTACTGGAACTAGATACTAGTTACTAGTACTAGTAACTAGTTATTAGTTCTAGATACTAGATAACCAATTTTGTTGTATTTAAGTACAATGACAATAAAGATTATACTTATACTAGGAAAGATTACACAATGTATCATTGTGTCCATTGTGAGTGATTAGGCAACCAAATGAACAGTGTACCCTTCAAGGGGTTTCAGGATGCACAATAAAGTAAAAATGAGACCAAGGATTTATTTGTTCCTGCCATCGGATGTAGCACAGGCTTGTGATCAGTTCAATGCCCGCCAGATTTGATTAATGAGTGATGCAGAGGACTGTATTGAATCTACAGTGACAGCATGTAACCTTGTGATGATTTGTGCTTTTCAAGCCTTATTTGCAGTATTCAAATTTGGATCACCTTTTAAGATTTGTGTTTAATGTTGGTAGCTGGCATAGGGAAAAAAAGACCTAAAAATTGGCAACTGTCTCTGTTTAACTTTCTCTGATAGAGATGCATATTCTGGTAAAGATCTACCAATGGATGTTTACCCAGAGCAAAAAAAACATGTTTCTTTTCCAATGGTTACTCAGTGCCTTCTTAAAAGTTAACTGTTTAAAAAGTTATGGAATTTTCCTCTTCTGAGGTTTCTCAGTTTTGACTCTCTCCTTAGTCACTTGTTCCTTGCTGCATTACTGTGTGATACTGGAGGTGCTTTTTTTTAATGCCCCAGATCCCTGCAGATCTTGAAAAACAGATCAGAACCTGGTATAATCCTGCCTAGCTGCTTCAGAAATAAGCACCGTGAGCTCAGCAATACTTTTCCTTTTATTATTTACCATTTTCATCTCCTGTTTTTCTGGCTTTGTGTGTACAACTTTGTAGGAAACGGCTTAATTAAATTATTCATGCACTGGATTTATATCCCATTTTTCCTCATGAGGACAAGAGGGCACATGTAGGAATCCATTTTCCATCATGATCATCATGTGGCTGGATTGAGTATAACTGGACCAGTGTCTCCCACTGATATTTTAGGGTTGAGGGTGAACATGATCCTAGTCCTCAAGGTGATTGCTTCACTACATAGACTTCCTATAGTGAGCAATCACAAATAATAAACTTTTTTTCTCCTCCATGAAGATTGGAGACCTTCTTAAAATTGCCTTTTTGTCCATTTTTTAGAGAAGTTGCTCTTCTGGGATCTGATTAGAATAATCTGCAACACAGCTGCACAGCTAGTAAAGGAGAAAGGGCCACTTCAACATTTTTTTAAAATAGCAGTGGGCTGCAAAGGATTACCTGTCACACAGATCATCTGTTTTGGTGGCTAACACAATAATGGCAGCACTGGAGCTAGCAGCACTGGTAAGTCCTGGAGGCATTGGATGTGCTTGGCAGTGTGTCTTTTGGAGCAGCGGCAGATCGTGCTTGGCAGCAATGATATTTAGTGGCAGCAAATTGAGTTTTTAAAAAACAGTGGTAGGCATCAGAAGGCTTCTTGGAGGGCCCCATGCTATGCAGGCCTAGTTTAGAAGGCAATATATGGGTTTTATTCTACACAAGAAGTTTTGAAATTAATAGGTAATATTTATAGAATGCACAGATAGCTATTAATAGGATATATATTTAACCTTTGTGGGTTTTAGTCTATATCTCTACTGATTTTTTAAAAATCTTTTGGAGTTTTCTTCACAATTATAACACTATCTTATTATTCTGTCTTTTCTAACATCTTTTTTGTTAAGCTTTTATCGTGATAAAATCAAGAAAATTGGCAGGTGCTTTACATTTCCATAAAGAAAGGATTGCAAAACAGAACAATGTTCCCTTTGTTTAATTAATGCCTTCAGAGTATATTGTACTTTTAAATTAAATAAACAAAAACATGTTTTGTCCTGAGGTGCTTCAACCTAAATTGACAATAAAATCAGGAAAGCATGTGATCAGGTGCCCTTAAGTTTTGTGTCCATGGTAGAACAAGAAACTAATTCAGCCTTCCCCTGTAAAATAATATCTAGGTCAGCTGGACTTAATTCTTTAGCCGTTATCAGTTATGTGATAGACTACCATATCAGTATCAAAATATCTAGCTTTCACTGTAGCATAAATGTACAATGATTATGATTTGAAGCTTCAAATATAGTTAGTGTCCTCTTCCCACTGTATGTGTCAGATAACGGATCTCGAGATTGTGGGTTGCCTTTCTTGGCCACTGGATGGCCACTGCAAGGTTGTATTTATATGCATGATAAATCGATGCTGAATCACAGGCTCATGATTTGGCTTCAAGTGATTCATTCACTTAATTAAACTAACTTTGTGCGTCCTTTTCCATACAATTATAGAATAGGAAGAGACTGCAGAGTTACTTTAATCTGCTTGTTCGGTACAGGATTTGCTAGAGCATTTGGAATGGAAAGTTATCCAGACTCCATTTGAAGATCTCCAGTAACAGGAACCTATCACTGCAGAAAGCAACTGATTCCACTAGTTGATAGCTCCTAATGTAAGAAAATTCCTCCAAATATCTAACCCAGGTATACTTTCCTTTTAATTTCATCCCATTTGTCCTGTCACATATTGAAATAGAAAACAGGTTAACTGCTCTTCTACAGATGGTTATCGACTTAACAACCATAATGGATCCCAGGATTTCCATCATAAGTCATGATGGTCGTAAGTCAAAGCAGCTATGTAACCAACTCATTTTATGACCTTTTTTGCAGCAATCATAGAGCAAACACAGTGGTCCGAAAGCAAATGTGGTGTGTATAAAGCAAGTTCATTCCTATAATTGTTTTTTCTTCACTAGAAACCAGCCAAAATGGCTGGAATTTGGAAAAGAACTGTGTTAATCATGGTCACATGACCATGGAACGCGGCAACTGGTTGTAAAATTGAGCGAGTTGCTAAACACTCAAACCGGAATCTTGTAATTGTGTGTGCACACTCCACTGTCAGAACTCCATAACCAGGTTGTAAATTCAACTGGGGGGGGGGTATCTTTCATAACTTCAGTCACTAAGCAACCAGTTATTAAGAAACCTGTACAGATGGTCCTCAGCTTACAATTATTCATTTAGTGACCATTCAAAGTTACAGCAGCACTGAATAAAGTGACCTGTGACCATTTTTCACATAATCATTGCAACATTCCCATGGTCACATGTTCAGAATCCGGTCACTTGGCAACTGCCATGTATTTATAATGGTTGCAGTGTCCAGGGGGTCATGTGATCAACTTTTGTAATCTTATGTCAAGCAAAGTCAGTGGGGATGCCTGATTCACTTAACCATGATACTAACTTAAGGACTTCAGTGAATCATTTAACAACTGTAGCAAGAAAGGTTGTAAGATGAGGCCAAACTCCTTTTAACAATTGTCTTGCTTACCAATGGTCATTATGGGCTCAGTTATGGTTGTAAATCAAGGACTAACTGTATATCAGTGTTACTCAACATAAGCAACTTAAAAGGTGCTGACTGAGGAATTCTGGGAGTTGAAGTCCATACAAGTTAAAGTTGTCAAGGTTGAGAAACCCTGCTCTATACAACAAACATTTAAGATACCAGAAGAGTTCAACAATGTCTTTCCTTGGTCGTCTTTTCTCATTTGGTGACTAAGGCAAGCTCTAATTCCATTTCAGTGTGGGGAAATCTTTTGTCCTCCAAATGTTGCAGCATTATAATTCCTACCATTTCTACAGTGAAA